GAAAAGAAAAGGTCAGGAAATTGCTTTATTTATTATTTATTTATTTTTTATTGATTTGTTTTTCTATTGAAGCTCTGATTTTGGTGTTGATGTTCCACAAGCTTATATGTTTCTTGCATGTTTCTGAATAGCTATATGAAATATACTCTTATTGATCTTTGGTGAGATCACTCTTTTGGAAATTCATAAGATTGCCACACAAGTCTCTGCCTAAGGTTATTTCTCTTATTCTGTTCTCTGTTATTATGCCACTTGAACCAGGCTCGGCATAACAAGGCAATCTCAAGGGACACATGGTCACAACTTTTGGAGTTTGCAAGGGTAAGAAAGCATCAGTATGTATGACTGATACAACCATCGTTGCATAGGCAATTTAATAACTTCATGCTACAGTAGTCATTGATTAAAAATAAGAGTGCTGGAAGAGAAGACAGTGCTAATATTTACTTTTTGATTTATTTTTTGCTAGGTAAATTGGTTTAGGCTATATGCAAATACATAGTAAATGTCACGGCCACAATAGGAGTGTTATTCTGTAATTTTTGTTAGGATATAAGAAAAGTGCTTTTCAAGTTTATGCATTTAACTGGCCTTGGTAGTGTTAATGTTAGGAGTACTAATTCTTTCATGCTTCTTCTTGTTGTGCAGACAATTGATCCTGCTCTTTCTAATTATGATGCTGAAGGTGCGTGGCCCTATCTAATTGATGAATTTGTCGAGTACTTGTACGAGAATGGCATCATTCCAAAGGCTGATTACAGCCAAAATCAATGATGCGCTGCTTGAAGTTCATATTTCATGTGGGGTTCTATGCTATTTTTCTGTAGTATGATTTGCAATGTACCCTGTGAAGTAACTTTCTGGTCTTATAAACCAAGACATGAAATTGCTTCTTAGTTTGAAAGGTTTCTGCTGACAATTGATGCACAATTCATTTGAGTCAATGGGATTGGTGACATTGGATATGAACTTTCTTTTAAATTGAAGTGTGTGAGTTTGTAGTCTGGGTTCCAGTTCTTTTGCCTCCTTTGTTTTTATTTTATAGCAGCTGACTTTGAGGAATTGAGCAATTGAGTGGGAATGTGGGTTAGCTTATTAGCAAACTCTCTTTTGAATGGGGGTTTATTGTCTTGGCGTTTTATTTTATAGTTTTTGATTCTTAGTTTTGATTTTCATAATCGTTGAAATTAAAAATTAAAAATTTATTTAAAACAAATTTTAACTTGAACAATTAAAATTA